TTTTTTTCCCTGTCTTTTCTTAAAATAATTAGTTACCTGACTTTATGGACCTATGAATTAAAACTATCAGAGTAATATAAATTTTAAATTTCTAGATAATAAACTTTTTTATCTTCTTGAAATTGTTTTGAAAAGTGCATAGTGATTGTTAAATGAACTTGACCTAATATTAACTTTACCAAGAATTCCATTTGTTTCAAAAATTCTGTCAAGTTGAAATGTTTTTTCTAAAAGTTAGAAATACGAAAATTCTAACGGCTAAATAAAAAATGGAGAAAGCTTGGATGGATGGATCTCTTATTTAACTTAAAAGACTAAACTCGACACTTTAAATCAAATTAAGAACCCTTCAATACCGCCCTCCAAGCTTCGTTTAAAAGCATGGATTAACTAGAAATAGAAAGATGTATGAGCGCACAACGACGCAGCAAGTAAGATGGCGGAAAACTCTCGCGGTTGCTTCACCTTGAAAGGAGTGGGCTAATGGGAGTGTCTTCTCCACTTACTCCTAGCTCCATGCGTGAGATATCCTCAATGGTAGATGGATCATGGGTTAGAGTCCCCTTGCCGTCAGGCTAACCGTGGGAGGTTTTCGTGGCGGGTTAGCTCCATCAAAAAGTCCTCCAGAAAGGCAAATTTCTCCCAATACTCGACACAGGAGTTCCCTTGTCTTCTGGATTGGGTTCAAAATTACAAGGCTACCGATTTGAACATTAGTACTCGTAAACCCATTAAAAATTGGATCGGCTGTTCAACGACGGTTATGAAATAAAATAAAGTATGTTTATACTGAGAAAGTATGTTTTGGTGTCTGATTTTGTAGCTTAAAATATCATCTGTTGTTGTTGCTTATCTCCCATTTGGTCTGAGGGAGTCAGATCATGTAAGAATCCGTTGACATTCAAATATTCATATGCAAGAACAAGAAAAGGAGATGAATAATTTCCCACACATATGAATTCCAACCAGTGGAATCTGTGTTCAGGTGAAGCTTGGTTTGGTGTAACTTGGGGAAAAGTAGACCACCAGTAACCCTGGATGGATCAGTGTAGTAAGGCATAGGAGTATTCTCCTGGTAAGGCCATCTAAGCCGTGAAGGCCGTTTCAGTTTACTCAGCTAACTGCCAACCGGTGACGAAGCCTAAA